TGAGTCAACTGGAGCACTGAATTTACATTTGATTTAGTGTTCAGTCAGCAAGTTTAGTGTTTTTGCCACAAACCAATAACCAGAGCTGTTGACGTAAATAGGCAAGAAAAAAAAAAAGAAGCGTGCCATCTGTTACTGCACTTTCCCATTAATTTGTAAACGTTGCGGAAAAGGTGTTATGAAGAGATGTGTTCAGAGTGTAAATTAAGGTTCCTTTTAACATGAACAATCACACAAACACCCTCATGCACTGCTGACTCATACAAAGCCAGTGAGTAGGTCAATCAAGGAGATCCTCATCCATGAATAAGATTTAGAAGCAAATTCAGTTGAGGTGCAACAGAAAAGTCAGTGACATGACCGACCTACTGATTGACCTTGTTTCACAAACACCCCTGTTCACAAACAAATCAGTTTACAGTTTTCATTTTCAGACAAATATTCTTTTGTTTCTTCAACTACGCTTTAGTTCGCCAAGAGTCACAACATCCACATGGAAAGCTCAGTTGCGCTTTTCCCTCACACAGCGTAAACTTCATTAGCTCCGTGCTTCATGCTTTTTAGGTCTCTTTACTTTTTGAAGTGAATTAGCCCTCAGTGTTGCTTCAAAGAAAGTGAAAGGTGCTATTCGGAAGCTCTGAAAAAATGTTGTGGTTTTAGTGACGTTCTGTGAGTTCTCGTCTATTGTTTTCCTTGAATAGTTTCTTCTGAAGAGGTGTAAATGGTCTGCTTTGAAGGTCAGCAGGAGGGAGTCACATTCCTGTGGCCTTCGTAAATATAGCGAGTCGATCAGTCACTGCTGGTGCACATTACAGAGCAGCACAGTACGATGAAGTGTAGCCCCTCTGAAAGATGGTCCTCCCAACTACCGATGCAAGTGGATCGGTACAAGCTCAGCATGCTCACCTGCACCAGCTTGGAGTCATGCTGGGCGTCTGCTCCGACCATGCGCAAAGGAAACTTGGTTCTGGGGATGCAAGTAATGAATTCCAGTCGGAGAAGGGATGACTATTGTGAGCTGAGGGTCCCAGGCATATACACGCACCACGCAAATATCGGATTTTATTTTTGCTTTTTTGATCTGCAGTCATGCAAAACTGTTTTCTTGTGAAGGGTGGCAGAGCAGAGAACCAATCCAGAAAGCACATGAAACACAAGCGGTTTTAAAATGATGTCAAAGGGCTCACTTAGTTCATGTGCCTCATCCTGCCAGGCATATTTCCCTTTGACGGTTAGCGTAATTACAATGTGAGACACAGCTCAGCGTGTGTGCAATGCTTCCGCATGGTTTCAATGTGACTTTCCTGAAGAGGCCATAATCTTGTTAGCGCCGGATGATGCATCGTTTAGTCCGTTGCTCGAGCAGCCGTCTGTCCTCCTTTTGAAATCAGGTGTGCAGTTGCCTACTAATGCATTACTCTGGCATCCCTTCACTGGCTCCCGATACAGTTTAGAGTTCTGTTCAAGATACTATTATTTGTTTTCAATCCTTAAATGACCTCGCGCCACCTTACCTCTCTGAGCTCATCCACTCACACCTCAGGTCTGCGGACCAGACATTATTAGAAGTACCAAGAACAAAATGGAGGCTCAAAGGGGATCGAGCCTTTTCCGTTGCTGGTCCCTCTCTCTGGAATGACCTCCCACTGAACATTCGGCAAGCCCCCTCGCTGGCCACCTTTAAAACCTGCCTCAAAACTCACTTGTATTCTTTGGCATTTGACTCAGCATGACTCAGATTTGATCTTAGTTTTACTGTTTGGTGCTTTCTACCATCTTTGTTACTGATTTATTGCTTTGCTGTTGTATATGTGAGTTGCTCCATGTACAGCACTTTGTATGCAGCGATGGCTGTTTGAAAGTGCTCTATAAATACAGTTGAGTTGAGTTGAGTTAATGCACCTTAAAAATCGGTGGAGTGTTTATCGCTAAGAGTACAAATATCCTTATGTGAATGGTGTGCATGGGGAAGGCAGACATCACTGAATCAAATATATCCAGGTGGCATACAGTAAGTCTTTCTGTGCTGACGCGATGGTCCTTTGCAGAGTGGCTGAATTTTTGTCCTTCAAAAAACTCAGTTTCTCCATCTCACCACACCCCTCCTTTTCTTCTTGAACCTCATTTCCATTCTATTTCACACCATTCCCTCAGCCCTCTCTGACGATCTTGGTTTCTGTTGCCTCCTGTCACATCACATCTTCCCCCTTGCTGTGTAATAATCTCTCACTTTTTTTTTTCAGGTTGGATCATGATATTTCCCCAAGGAACACCTTGTCAGCCTGTCTTGTGCTGTTTTTTTCCATGGAGGAGACACAGGGGGTGGCTACACAATAACTGTACAAAAAGTACAAATCATGAAAATGTTGCACTGCTTCCCATTTGGCGAAAGAAACTCTGCAAAACGCATGACAAAAATTCAATCCATCCATCACGAGTGAACTGAAGCCTATTCCAGCTGACTTTGTAGGTATACGCCCGGGACTGGTTGCTTGTCAATCACAAGCATGATGAACAGTGTTTTAATCAGGAATCAGAAACATTGATTACAAAATATAGAGCAAATATTAGAGCTCTTAAATAAATGTGTGGCTCGTGATTATTTGAATTGAAACTCTTTCAAAGGAGTCACTAATAGTGTAGCAGCACACTTGACTGACTTGAGTTAACTAAGTTGACCACCGTGACTCCACACACAAAACAATAATCAGAATGCCATGCTTACACTAGTATTACTGTCAAGAAAAATTTGGGGTTGACTTCCTCTTTGAGTAGAAATACTCTTGAAGATTTTTTTGGCTTGTCGACCCGCCTCTGTACATCATCAAACACCATAAAAACGATCATTAAAAACACCAGAACAATCCAAATTTACGTTTCAAAGGATGGCAGCAGCATGGCTGCAAGATCCACCTCTGGCGGCCAGAAACCTTATTCAAAGGTATTCACTTTGTGACATATAAAAGTGAGGACCTTTTCTTGGATTGGGCGGAGCTGTTGCTTTGAGGTGAGGAATGAGCAGGACTGCTCTGATATGGGTGAATGGAGGAAAACACCACACTGGGGGTGCTTCTGGTGAGGAATTAGCATTTTAACATGGCTATGAACTCAAAAAGTTGATTTTGCACAATATAGCCTCTTTAACACAAACGCCACCGCTTAAAAATGCTTTGTCTTTGACATGTCTTTCCGTCATTGCCAAGTACCCAAAGATGATAAAATGAAGACAGCGGGATGTGAGTGCGCCTTTTCCCTTCATTTTTAGAATTACTACCATTACTACTACTACTACTAATAATAATAACACATTTTATTTATGAGCACCTTTAAAAACACTCAAGGAAACTTTACAATCAAGAACAAAAACAATAAAACCACAGATAAAATAATAAATAATAAAAGAAGAGATGAATTTAAATTGAGTATGCGATTTTGAATAGGTGGGTTTTGAGATGGGATTTGAATGTGGGAAGAAAATCTACATTACAGATGTTGGGTGGAAGTGAGTTCCAGAGTTTGGGGCAGAGCAGCTGAAAGCTCTGCACCCCATTGTGCTGAGATGGGCAGAGGGTACACAGAGGTGGAGGGAGGATGAGGACCTGAGGGAATGAGAGGGAACGGAAATTTGAAGAAGATCAGACAGATGGGGGTGGGGGAGGTCAAGGTTAAGGGTGGTTTTAAATGTATAGAGAAGTACAGTATTTTGTAGTTGATTCTAAGTTTGACAGGGAGCCAGTGGAGTTGTTGGAGGGTGGGGGTGATGTGATGAAAGGAGGGGGTTCTAGTGATGATCCGGGCTGAAGAATTCTGGACCAGTTTAAGTTTATGGAGGAATTTGTGATGGACACCGAAAAGAAGTGAATTGCAGTAATCAATATGGGAGGTGATGAGACTGTGGACAAGGATAACGGTGGTGTGAGGGGTGAGAGAGGGACGGAGATGATTGGTATTACTGAGGTGGAAATATGCAGACCAGGTTATGCTATTGAAGTGGGAGTGGAAAAATAGTGAGTTATCGAGGATGACACGCAGGCTCTTAACCTGAAGGGAGGGGGAGCTATCACTTGTGAGGGAGAAACTGTCGGCTTTGTGTAGGGTGGATTTGGTACCGACGAGGAGGAGTTTTATTTTATCGCTGTTCAGTTTGAGGTGAACCAAGATTTGATTCCTGAGAGGCAGCGTGAGAGGGAGGAGGGTGGGAGGGAGGCGTCGGGTTTGCTGGAGAGGTAGAGCTGGGTGTCATCCGCGAAGCAGTAAAAGTGTATCCCAAAATTACGGAAAATATTGCCAAGGGTGAGAAGGTAGACAATAAAGAGGAGGGGTCCCAGGACAGAGCCCTGGGGCACACCAGAAGTGACGGGGAAGGACTGTGAGGTGAAGGAGTTGAATTGGATGAACTGAGAGCGGCCAGTGAGATAAGAGTGAGATCAGCATAGGAGAGTGTGGGTGATGCCTATGGTGGAGAGTCTATTAAGGAGGATGGGTTGACAGATGGTATCAAAAGCTGCAGTTAGGTCGAGGACTATGAGGATGGAGATTAAACCGGAGTCTGCTGCCATGAGAAGGCCGTTAGTGATTTTTATTAGGGCCGTTTCTGTACTGTGACGGGGACGGGAACCAGACTGGAATTGTTCTTAGAGATTGTTACCAGTGAGGTGGGAGTGAAGTTGAGAGGCAACAATTTTTTCAAGAATTTTGGAGATGACTTAATCATGATTTAATCATTCAATTTGAACTCATCTGTGAATTAGCAACCGACATTTCACCTATTTTGTCAGGCTATGGACAGTCACAGAAAGAGTCTTTTGTAGAGAAAAGCCACATACTTTTTTAAATCTGTTTATTCTTGTATTGAGGTATATTCAAATTGAGGTATATTCAAATTGAGGTATATTCAAAGAGTCCTTCACTTTTTGACCGCTGGAGACTTGGATGAGACCTGGAAACCCTGTGTTTGTCATGAAGCTCCTGATTGGTGAGAAGAAAAAAAAAGGCAAATGTCTTTGTATTTTGGTTGTTTAATAGCAAATATTGTATCCGAAGGTATCAGACAAAATGCTCACTCACAGCAGTCATAAAGTCTGTTGACACGCTCATAGTCATTGGCACTCATCTCTGTCGCAGTGCCAAATGTAGTGACAGCACTATCTATGGCAGTAATGGTTGGTTGGCCATTTTTGGAGAAGTCAAATCTACAAAAAAATAAAATGAATAAAATACAAGCAATAACAAGAATATGATGTAGGGGCGTTTTGGGGTGATCGATTGACATCACTTGAACCAATACAATCCTCAACTAATATTAACACAATCTCCATTGTTTATTGAACATAGCATTGGGGATCATTCATGTTTTTGAAAACACACATATGGATCTGGATCAAGCAAATGTTAACGCTGGTGTGCAGTTCCTTGTTAGAGAACAGCAAGTTGTGCGAAAAGGACTGAATCCTGGAGCTGGCGGACATGAGCATTCAATGTTTAGAGTAGGTCTGTTTCAGCTCAAGTTCAACTGTGAAGGTTATCGTTAGTCTGAGTGAAACCCAATATCCCGAACCTTTTGTGAGTAGGATAGAAAAGGATCACATGTTTGTATGGCTGGAAAGATGTACTCACTCGCCGTAATGCATCACGGATTGAAAATCATAGGATGTACCCAAGTTGTTTGTTTGCACAATCTCAAAGTTGCTTTCAAATCCTGCATAAAAGGAGAGAGTACAACATCATGTTGAACTGCAGTTAAATGTCGTTCAGTCAGATGGGAGATTTAGAAACACGATGGTGTAGACGCCATTCTGACAAAAGGTAAATCCAGTATCCATCAGCCATTTTACAGGGAGCGGGAAGTCGCCTGCACCCTGGACTGGGTTGCCAGCCAAATCCAGGAAAAAATATCTCAATAAAAGCCTGAAACAATATGCTCTCAAATGACTTCCAATGCCACTTCTGCAAAAGGTCTGTTGGCAAGCTGACCTGATATGATGTTCTCAAAATTAATGATGACGTGTTCGTCTCTGTCAGAGCGGACATGCTCATGGTGGAATCCGAGTGCATGGAGAGCCTCATGTTGCACAATGTCTTTGAACACACAACCGTTTTTCTGCAAGGAGATTTGCTGTGCATTTCCTTGACGACCAAGGTAGGACCAACACCTGGCACATAAAGGCACAAAATAAAGTGAGCTCAAAAACTGGCTGACTTTCAAAGATGGAGGGGCATGTACAACATATTTCTAAATTGTAGCCCCACTTGAATTGAAGACAGAAAGATGAATTGTTTGATTCGAGCTTTTGTCATAACGTGAAACCCAAATGAACTAAACATGGAAAAGAAGAACTCTTCTGATTAACCTCGTGAGGCAACTGAATTTCACAAGAGCCCAAATCTTTTTGAAAGCTTAGCAAAAAGTATTTCTGAGCAGAGTGGGTTATATCAGTCATCGGACCAGTTGAGACAAGTTCATGCTGTTTGAGGACCGGCAACCATTTTTTAAAAATAGGCAGTTTTAAAGCGCTGGTCCTGACAACAAAGATAATTAGAGACTAATTACACATTTTGTCAACATGGATTTTTTTTCATGAATTTCAAACTGTGTTATTCTGTGGAATAAAATGAAATAAGACCGTGAGCGAAAAAGAAATGGACCAATCAGGAAAAATAAATGCTCCTTAAAATGTAACCATCATCATTTTCAAGTTCTGATCTTACATACGGCGTTAGCATCATTGCTACTTGCGAATGTGACTGATGAAAAGACGACACGATTGATTGCTGCTTTCATCGGGTGGCTAAGTTATTTGTTATTCTTACCTCCTGTTTCCTACTTATTTCATTTATTGTGTATATCTTTCATCTATAACTGCTTCAAATAACAAAGTGTATGCAGATAAAGTGGTTTAGATTTCACGACTGTCTGTGTCTTATGTGTTGTGTTTTATTATTTTGTCATTTTATGCGAACTGTTCTGTTGAAGGCGGTGCTAGCAACCACAGCGGCTCCTCTCTCTCTCCTGTGGTTGAGAGGAAAGAAATTTAATCTGTGCTGTCTGTTGCACATAGAGCACATGTGACAAAGTTGACTTGAACTTTCTTGGCGGATTGTGTTTAATTTGACTTGTCAACCCATGTTAGAAGGGGGACTCCAATTGGCAAAAACATTTCTGCCACGTCTGATGGAGTAAATTTGCTCGCAGCTCGCTGGTCTGACTCTTTGCGGCCCGGTCGCAAATGGGCCGTGGCCCGGTACCGGTCTGCAGACCGGTGGTTGGGGATTTCTGAACAACACCGGGCAAGTGATTTCACAGTGCAAAACAATGCACAATGGCCCCTGAAGATTCGTGTGGATACTGCCATAGCAGGTAAGCCAAATAACATCTTTACATCATGTCAAGACAAAGATAATTAACAGGGCAAAAATATATCAACTCAAAGACGGAGCACTTTTTCTGTGCACATTAGCTGAATTGACAACAACTGGGTAAGTGCCACTGACAGCGCAAAGGCAACAAATGTGTTTCATTAACGAGTTGAGTCAAGGTCATAGAGGTCCGAAATGCTTAAATCTCACCCAGTGCCAGAGATGAAGGATATATAGTTCACATCTTTTTTAGTCTTCTTGACAAAGCGAATGCAGGTCATGCGATCTCCTCTTTCGAACTCTTTCAGGGCTTCTATTATCGTTTGCCTCTGTCTTCTTGCTGCAGACACACACACACACAACATTACATTGCAAAGTTTTGTCGATCAAAAGTAACACTTAAATTAACCCTTGAAGGAAGATTCATTTTGTCTGCCACACAAATCAAAATGTAACTCAAAATTAAAATAAATCTTACAGGGAATGCATTTCTTGCTCTGCTGAATACTTTAAAATCCACAACGGCACCTTGAATACCAAATTTCAAGATGTATTATGACATTATTTAAAAAAAATTACATATACATATATATATATACTGTATATACACACACACAAACACACACACACACACACACATATATATATATA